GGTTCCTCCGGTCGGTCATTAACTGGTTCATGTCTGTTCGTTTGCGGGAAACCGCCGTTAGTGCGTTTGTTCGTCGTTGTTTCAGTCGGCGAATTTTTTCTTCTTTGCCTTTTTCCGTTAATTTTCTGACCCTTTGAGATTCTTCAATATCGGTATCGAAGTTTTTGGCGTTTTCCTTTTCCTTTTCGTTTTTTAGAGTTTCCAAATTTTCTTCTTCGATATCTTCCAGAATGTGATGGGTGAGTTCTGATTTGTCATCGCTGTTTCTGAGCGTGACGTCAACACTTTCACTCACTGTTCCTTTGTTTGACCACGTGGCTTCGTTCGTTGCCATTTTGGACGTTTTCGATTGTAATTCAGACGAGCCAAGCGTTTGAACGTTGTGTTGTACGGCACGCACTGAATCCACAAATCAATACAGAATTTTCGAAACGAATGTGAGCGCAAAACGTTACTCACAGGACGATCGTTTAATCCCACGTTAAGACAGAAAATTCTTGACGCGCTTTAAGAACTTTCGCTACAATAATGATGCTCACGACGATAAGGATGTAAACAAAGTTTATTGAAGCGAAGCGATGAGACGTTAACAATGCTGAAAAGAAGCGATGCGAAGAGAAGCGATGATCAGGCGGCGTAAACGAAGAAAACGATATACAAAGCGGTTTCGAAAACTAAGAAATAAATACAGCGAAAACTATAGTTAGATTAACTAGAAACTACCTTAAAACTACGAAAACAAACTTTGGACATTCGATGCAAAAAGGCTATATAAAACGTAACATATCATGCACAAAGTGAAAAGACTTACTTCTGTGTCGGCTTTAGGGATTTCACAGCGTTGACGTTGAGCCTTACGTTGATCTTAACACTACGACACGTTGACTAGAACTGCAAAAGTTTCTTGAGCACGTTCGACAATACTAACTAATACAAAGGATAATAGACTTCTTTGTTTGTAAATCATACGTAAGCAGGTACATCCGCGGCGAAAACCACAAATACTATAAGATAATAACGCAAACGAAACTAAAAAGGGTTCGAAAGGAAATACGAAAAACCAGAAAATATTTGGCAGTAACAGAAATATTCCTCTGACCTGAATCTTGGCGAGGGTCTTTGTATATGAACCTCCTTTCATTTCCCAGATTCTGGACTTTATCTCGTGAACCGTTTTGATTTTTAATTTGATCTATTTTGAATGGCGTGACCCCGAAAAGCAGCCTGATGGCTATGATTGAATCCTAATTATGTTTTATACAGAGACACCGGAAAACGAAACTTCCTCCCTGTAGTGAATTTCAAAGTCGTATGAATCTCGTCATGACTGTCATTGAAATCATAGTATTGAAGGCAATTCGATCAACGAAACGGTAAACCAAAAAAATTGAAACTGTAAGTAGTACCTATATCTATTCCAACAACAATCGTTCCAGGTATCTATTTCTGCAACTCCCTGATACTCACAAAAAAGGGTCAGAAAGACAGGATAGCTAGCTCTAAAGTAGCTTGATTCTGATCGTTAATGCTCGCATATCACACTTATATCAAATAATAAGCACGTCTGAAATGCATTTATTTTTTGTCGGGCCAACGGTATGATTTTGAAAACTAAAATCAACTTTTAACAACTACAAAGCTATTGAGGAACCACGTTTCTCAATATATATCTCAAATTCAATAACAGAAACGTAAAATCGCATATGGAGTCCGCTCTAACAACAACACCTGTTGCGACCACGAATAAACAGCACACCACCCAAATGACACTTCAGTGCCATTTTGTTTTCCCCTTTCAATATTATCCTTATTAGTCTATTAGTTTGTTGTCGTTTTTATTCACCCCCCTGGAATTGATTTTGTCAACTTTTTGATAGCAATTGTTCAAGAATATCTTTATTTCTATTCCACTGGGTCTTTTTGTTTGTTTTGTGTTTGTTTTATTGAATAGTCATTGCAAAGCACCTTTACACATATGTCCCCTAGTGTATTTTTGTAAACACGATAACCTATCGTGCTGTTTAATTGTGCCACAAAACGAGCGTTGACTAGAAGTGGGGTTTGTATTATTGCTCTTTTTGTTTAACTTATTCTTGGCAATAAATTAAAATCCTACCTTTGATAACCTCCCGATTGAGAACGTGTAGGCTTAAACGTAAGAATTAAGCTTTGAAGTTCAAATAGGTTCTTATCTTGAAAATACAACGATGAATATCAAGACCGATTATGGCTCTTGTAAATATAAATTGACTGTTCTAATCAAATCGAAAATATATATAAATTATGGGATCCAGACAAAATTATTGAATAATTCTTTTAAGAATACTACGATCTGTTGATTGATATAATAGGAGGTGTCTTCACAAGAAAGAATCCTCACCCAATTGGACCAGCAGGAAGCTGCTAATAAACCCCCCCACTCCCCCCGCCTTTTTTTTTTTTGCGGGATTTTTTCCGTCTTGCTTCAAAATATATGCCTTTTCTTTTCTCAGGCTATAAAATGGAATACAGTTGTCTCAACGTAGCATTTTGTATCATGGTTTTAATGGACCTTGCTGGCAACACCCTAGTGATTCTAGTGATCCGTTTGAACAAGTCCATGAGAACTCCTATGAACATGCTTTTGCTTAACTTGGCAGTTGCTGATATGGTAGTAGCAGTGTTTGTCGCAATACAGTTCGTCATTGGGCCAACATTCCAGCACCCGTCTGGGACAACAGGATTGTGGCTTTGCAAGTTTGTAACTGGAGGAACAATGACATGGTCAGCGGCTGCAGTATCCGTGGGTAACCTGGTTGCAATTTCCATTGAAAGGTGAATTGTTTATGTTTCCATCTAAATATAAGTTAGCAAAACACGCAGGTAACGCAGCCGTCTCATGAGCAGTTTTCAAGTTATAAAGGACAGCTTCCGAATATTCCCCAGTCCCAGGAAGCCCAAAAAATCATGGTCAAAAAAGGGTTAAGACGGAATCCACCAGGAAATTAAGTAATTTTAATTTTCAGTGGACAAAAACCTAATACTAGAATAATTTAAAGAATATTGCATTCTTTTTTACATTTTTCAAGGGCTAAAGATGTCATAAATCATCTGTAGTAACACCAAAGAAAATTTCTCATGGAAGTCAGAGAAAATGAATGTCAAATTTCACAAGAATTGTGATTACACAGGTAAAATTCTGAAAATTTAACGTGTAAGATATAACTTTGTGAAATTTGACATTCATTTTCTTGAGCTCCCATAAGAAATTTGAATACCACTGAATATTTTTAGCTTCAATGTAGTTATTTTCTTTTGTAAATAAGAACCCATTTAAGAACCTAAATGGCCTAAGTTTGTGCTAATTACCATGCATATAAGAACCTGTTTAGGCTAACTTTGGAAAATGCAGGTTCTTAGTCGCGGGTTTTTACTGTATGTTCTTAATTCCCTTTTTCTTTTTGCTGTTTTGTTAAAGATATCGCGCAGTGGTACAGCCGCTGGCCACTCGCTCAACACTCACGAAAACTAAGCTGAAGCTCATCATCACGGGTTGCTGGTTATTCGGCTTCTTTTGGAATGTTCCTCTTTTTGCTGTCTTGACTTACAGGGCGGATCTAGAGACCTGCGGTGAGCAATGGCCTGGTCAGATCTTTCCTATAGTTTACAGTATTGGGTGGAGTGTAGTGGCTGGAATCGTACCCATCAGTTTAATGAGCTATCTGTACTCAAGAGTGGTTTACAAGCTGTGGTTTGAGGTAACCCCAGCTCTACCGTCCGCAGCAGCGGTAAGTGTTACTAATAACAACCCACTCTGGCATGACCTCATTTTAGCTGGCGCGTAATTCGTTGGAGCGCGACTACCACCAGCTACAAAGGCTATCTCTGCACATAGTTATTAAAGTGGAATGGTTATGAAACGCGTTTGACTCTTTTGTTATATGATTTTGTTTGCTTTTTTCGACCTGACCGTTCACAACGTTCAATAGCATTCCTATCATTTTGAATTTACTGACCAATAGAAACATCATCATATATCTCCGCTGTTATTTACCATAGCTTAAAAAGCTATACCTCACTTGAAAGGGCATACAATAAACTTTCCAAAAAAAAATATTTTACCCTCTGAAAGCCCATTATACTTTACTGATAAAATTTACAAGATACATTTTCTTATTATTTATGCAATAATTCAAATATAAAATGTGATTTTGCAATAATAATACTTGGATTGAGCTTAAAGTTCTAGCAAAACAGACCACCAATCAGCTAAAAATATTGAAGGATACAGAATGTTTTATTAATGTTTTCCTGTTGGTACCTCATTATGCAAATTAGGGTTTTAGCCTAATTTGCATACTTCAGCCTCACCACGTGTTGAGGGTAACGCGGTAAAGAATTTGTGGCTGCTTTAGCCATCAAGAAATACTTTTGGCGATGAATTTCAACCAAATATGTCCTTCACAATGAATTTAAAAGCTTTTTGGATCATAAGCTGGTAAAAAGATGCAAAACTCGAGGTAAGAAAAGGTTTATAACCGTAGCGTGCTCTTCGCCGTTAGTTCATTCTGCAACACGACATGTTCCTCAAATTCGATAAAATGCTTCTTAGTTTGGGTTTATATCGTCAAAGCCTTGCTTTTTTTCATAAATAAAGTGTTCGAATTCATTTTTGTGTGCTTTAGCTTGATTTATGGATGAAAACAGGAAGATAACAGACTTTTTCTGTGAGTAATCACTACATTTTTGTGTGATTTTCAAAACATCGTTGCGTGAAGCATATCAACGGTTGGGGACTGAAACTAGACCTGTAATTGGTTTCAACTGTCTACTTCCCGTGGGCCAAATTTTGTGGCGATCGGAAATAACGCAATTATCACAGGGCCACATGTTCCTATTTTCACAAGGGCTGTCAGAAATGAGTTAATTTATGTTAACAAAAAAACAAAGGATTGTGCACGGTCAGGGAGCTTCCAACATAAACTACAGCACCATTGTTTTCAACTTTAATGTTTGCCGGCTTTCCTAACCAGTCCCCTCTACTAACTTTGCTCTGCCTTAAGATATCTGAAAGTCATGTCTTCGCGTACAACAAGACAACCGACCCGGTTTCAAATGCGACAGCAACTTTTTTTATTGCACTTAGTGCGACCTCAGTAAGTTATTAGCCAACATTAAGACAGTGGGGCAGTTCATAAAATACCTTGCGAATGCGGCAAGGCATAAATGTACAAAACGGGAAAATTATGCTCTAAAAGAGGAAATATGACTTTCTCGAAACCAGACCTCGGCCTTTTCTGAGCACGCAAATAAGATGGATGAATGAATGGACGAACGAACGAACGAACGAACGAACGAACGAACGAACGAACGAACGAACGAACGAACGAACGAATGAATGAATGAATGAATGAATGAATGAATGAATGAATGAATGAATGAATGAATGAATGAATGAATGAACACTTTAATTTCAATAGGGTGCATAATTACAGACCAACTGTACTCTCCCTTATGGCCCGGGCGCTTCCACTTTAAGGATGTGATCAATATTGTTACTCTCGTAAAGTGAAAGAGCCATCAATGCAAGACTTTTCTTAAAATTACAATGTAAACAGGGAACAAAGTATGCCACCATCAGTAACCACTAGGCAACCGATCGAAGAAGAGACTTGACTTAAAGTTTTCTCACGTATTCTCAAAAAGTAGTGAGACACCCTAGAAAGATTCATTTTACCTTTTTTCACCAGAAAGGTTAACACTGTTATCCTTATTGAAGGAAGTTAAGCCCTCTCCCGATCACAAAATGATAAAACGTCTAAGATTTGATACCTTTTTTTCGCCACTGCGACGTTCTCGCTAAAACGCGTAGTAGAATGACGGCGACTGTCATGTTTTCCCGCCAAAAAGAAGCTGGTTTACGCCCCCTCCCCGCCCCTCTTGTCAGGTGTTTGTTGTTTTTTACAGGTAGCTAGAACACCGAACAGCGGCAGAACATTGCATGGAGGGGGTAGGGGAGGGAAAGCTTATTATATTTTCTCTTTTTAAGTTAGCAAAACGTTGGAGAGGCCCTTTAGGGCCACCTATCCTCACCAATTTTGTGGCCGATTGTAGGATGGCATCGGTCAAAAAACAACAACTTACTGCTCTAAATCTCTCTTTTTAGAAGAAGGCCTTACTGTGCAAAAAGAAAGCTACTATAGCGGTGATAACAGTCAGTTTAATCTATGCCATTTGTTGGGTGCCAGTCCTTGTGATGTACTGCTTGGCACAATCATTACCAAACATGATGGTACTCAGCCACCAACATAAAGTCACCGTACTTCTGGCCATGTTCAACTCCAGCGTTAATCCAGTTGTTTATAGTTTTACCAGTGCGTGCTTTAGAAAACACCTTGTAAAACTGCTGAGATGCAAATGCTGTTCGAAAAACTAGGAGAAGCAGTTGAAACCTTTGGCGCAGAGGTCACAGCCGACTGCATCTGACGGCATGTGAACAACCAGGGTGGAAAAACAAGTTTCAGGCGCCTGCATGAAACTCCCTTAATCACTGTATGTGTCTTATGAAGTCGCCTGTGATGGAAAGCGTGTACGTTATAGGATACTTACAGTACGTAACTTGTTAAAATATCAAGCAGCGTCAAAATACTTTTGAATCAAATATCCTCCTTCTTCCAAATGATATTTTACAGCCTTAATCTTGTACGCTGGTGGACGGCCGATCTCGGGCAAGTCCCCGATACGGTCCTCTTTTGCTAATGTAATTTTAATTAAATTTCGACCCTACTCATCATAGATCCTCCAGATCCGATCTAACTGGAACTCGGACGGTCATGAGTTCAAGTCTCACCTGAAGCTCGGAATTATTTTCGGAGCTTTCTGGTTCTTTGAAAAGCTGATTCCCTTGGACCCCTTTATAAGATAAATATAAATTATATTAAAGTGTGCTGTAGAAGAAATTAAGGAATAACTAATTTAAATACAGAATATAAATACATGCCTATAGATCTTCTAGTTTTATTGTCCTATTACATCTAACTTTAAAAAAGAAATTAGTTTGCTATTACAATTCTAAACTCCGATGCATCAACGCAATAAAAGAAATAAAAGGAAACTTAGGCAATTTTTTAATATATGACTTGCTAGGAGCAGACACTATCTGTATACAAGATCAAATGCTGCGACTGCCAGGCTTCTTACATCGGTGAAACCGGCAGAAACCTAAGCACGCGACTGACCGAACACAAACGCGCGACGAGGAATGGTGACGTCAACAATCACGTTGCTGAGCACCATTTAAAGAGGAAACACCGAATTGACTGGGACTCTGCGACATTTATAACGTATTCTACAGAATACTATCAACTTCTTACTTTAGAAAGCTGGTTTACTAACTTAGAACAAACGCCACTGAATCGTAGCCAACAGTTACCAGCGCCGTACAAACGACTTATTGACGAGATCAAGCAAAACTAACTACGAGAGAACAACTGGAGAACTGACAATTTGACTAACAATAGACGACTGTTTAACTGTGACAATAAACGGATCGAAACGCACCAATCACTGATTACGAATCTTCATAGCCAATAACATCACTGCTTAACATCGCGACATAATTGACCAATAAGATCAATAACCAGAGTATAATACCATCAACTGACGTGATACAACTCACTTTGACTCTGAAGATGACTGCCGCACAGATTGTCGAAACGTCAGTCACTGTCAACAACAACAGTCCTATTCAGGACGACGTTCACCCGGGCGATCAAATTCAACCTTTTGAAATGACTCCTGGGTTCAAACCTTTCACATTTTGTATCTGTGTTTGAAATATCTTATGACAGACTATACCACGCATGCTCATGCATGCTTATTTCCTTAAATATTTTATATATCTACATCGAAGTGTTGATAAGCGAGAAAAATAGCTATATTGATAAAGAAATAAAACATATTATAGAAACAAAATCTGGACAGAGGAACAAAAAGTGACATAAAACGTGACGTGGAGAACAGTTTCTATTTATATTTATTATAAATATTTATTTTTCATAGGTAAAAACTTTCCACCCGCGTTAAGCTACAAGGTATTGTTGTTTTATTCTCCGTCAATAAAAAAATTAAAAGTCGTAAAATTCATCTTTTAGCCCTCTTGGGCCCTTTCGCAGTCCCAATGACAGATTTCCCTGCCCTTTCGTATACAGTACTTCAACTAGTGAAATCCCTGCCCTTTGGCCTTTCATATGCCTGAAGCCTGAAAACGACACCCCTTTCGGGCGGAGCCTCCCCGTGTATGTCACTACAGGGGGTACCCCCCTCCCCCCCGGGCTCTACGCTTTCTCTAAAGAGAGAGACGTTTATAGGTAACTATGATGATAATTTCTCGCGCGGTAACTGGCAATACGTGTACTTGTCGTCAGATATTAGCTAAACCTGAGAATAATGACAGAATTTGTTATTTGAAAGGTAAGGGAATTAAATGCCTAATATTTCGCTTGTTTGTAATCTCAAAACCGCCAAATGACTAATAACACAATATCTACTCCCTTCTCGGTTAATACTTCTGGTTTTTCTGACCTTCAGTGAAATAATGGTATTTGAACAATGAAACAGGTAAACCAAAAAATTGAAACTATAATTTGTACCCATATCTATTCCAACAACAATCGTCCCAGCTCTGTATTTCTACAACTCCCTGATACTCATAAAAAGGGTCAGAAAGGCAGGCAGATAGCTAAAATCTTGGACAAAACTGTTGAGAAAATTGTATACTTGGACAGCATTTTTCTAGAAATCGTAGCTGTACCGGTTCTTCCCTCTCCCCCTTCCCCTGAAAGCAATGTTTTTGTGTATTCAAAAGAAAGCCTGATCCCTGGGCGTTTGTGGGAAGCAACATTGAATTGGGGGAAGGGGTTTTCTTCCCGCAAAGGCGTCATTTTCGAAATAGTTTTGTTGCGTAGGAAAGTGAACATGATGGGAAAACTTTCTCAAGTAGTTTTGCCCGGGATTGTAGCTCTAAACTAGCTTGATTCTAATCGTTAATGCTAGCATATCACATAAGAAGCACGTGTGAAATACATTTAATTTTTGAAATTCCATTACCTACCACTTTAGGGTCAACTAAAATCAACTTAAAGGGTTTAATTTATCGTTTGTTTCACGATTCTCAATTTGATATTGATTGCGAATTTTCGGCTGCACACTGCAGGTCTTCATCAGGCGTTAGTGTCGAATTACTGAGTCGGACTATTTGTACCACCGTGGTTGTTAGTGATTGGTGTATAACAAACCTGTCTCATATACCAATTTTAACGGTGCATACCTATCACAATTGTTCCACGTTTGAAACAAGGCAATGAGATGATCAGTTGTGCTATTACAGAAGGCATTGAAGACGACCAATAATATTGTAATCATGAAAGTTCAATCCCATTTATTTAGTCTAGTCTTGACGTATGGAATCTCTTTGTGTTAGTTTTGTGTAGGTCGAAAATCTTCTGTATCCTTAAATTATAAGTTGGCCTGTCGCACTTTTTAGGTAACAAACCGTAAATGTTACTGGATGGATAGCGTTTTCGAGATGCTTTATTTACGAATTCCTCAATTTGGTCGTTCCAAGTTAAGTTAACATTGATCATCAGTACTCCAAGTGGCACTGAACTGACTCCATAGAATTTCCGTCAATACATGCCCTTGGGAACAGAGGACGTTGATGACTGAAACTGATGTTGAGTTCCTTCGTCTTGTCGCAGTTTATCTCAAAAGGATTTGTCTTCGACTACTCATGTATTATATCCACTAGATCTTGAGCTTTGCTCTGCTGACCTTTGGGTATAGTCTCCGAGGTATCGTCAACGTATTTCCACATGTTGAATGTGGTTGGGACAGACAAGTTATTAATCATGAGGAGGAAAAGCCAAGGGCCCAACTTGGTCCCTTGAGGCACTCCAGATGGTTCTTTACCCCACTCGGACAAAAAGTCTTTGCTGAATTTGATTCTCTGGGATCTTTCTGAAAGGAAGTCGATAACCCAATTGATGACACTGTTAGGAACTTTGATCTGTTTCAATTTCGGGGCTAATTATGTAGTCAGTGACTACAAAATCCTCAGCAATTTTAGAGAAAGACAAAGTTAGAGAAATCGGCCGAAGCTCTTTCTTAGGGTCTAACACTTGCTTGACCTTTGGAAGAGGAGTTACTAATCCGCAGCTTCCACACAGAAGGTAAGTTTTGTTCCATGTATGAATAATTCAAAATGTCACTTACTGGCTGCGCTAGGAGTTCTGCATAGTCCTTTAACAAATAGTTTGACAGTCCGTCAGGGCCAGGAGCTTTGTGCTTGTTTAGATGTTTCAAGTTATTGAACACTCGGTGAGGTGGAACCTTAAGGAACTCTGGGTTCTACTAAATGGCAAAGCAACAGCGGTAGATTCCATGGACTCATAGTATTGTAGCGGTTCTAAACATGACAGCGACGTTGATGGCATAGTATAGTGCTTATTCGGCGGACATCGCCGGAACAAAACGCTAATGATATCGTCCAACGTAGAAGACATAAAGTACATAAACTCTCAATCTTCGTGTTTCTCAGCCTCGCAGAAGGCGGTCATTTTGCAACAGACGATTGCTTCTCAAAAAAGTCTCGCAGCCCGTCTATCAGAAGGGCGTGCTATCTTCACATTTCATATAAAACAACTAGAATATCTCGAGAATGTCCAAAGGATTTTTTAAGACCTGAAAACATTTTTGACAATAGATATTCTAAAGCTAAGATGATTCATCGATCGAAATAACAAGCAAAATTTACACGTACATTAAAAGAAAAATCTCTCTTTTGTTATGCTACAAGTGGTTCTTTACACCTTGGACTGAGCGATCACGACTTAACCTTTACAGTGCGAAAAAATAAGAATTTAAGGCCAAAGCCGCGCTTGATCGAGTTTAGGAGTATGAAGAATTTTAACTTGCCTGACTTTTGGCTGACTTAAAAAGGGTCCCATGGTCTTCGGCCTACACATTCGACAATACCGATGATGTATGGGCTCATTGGCGAACACTTTTCAAAGATGTTCTTGACCAGCACGTGCCCCTAAAGAAAAAGTGGATTCGGGGCGACCAGTTGCCATGGATATCACCTGATTTGCTGCGTGAAATTTCGAACCGAAACAAATTTTTCAAGCACCACAAGCGGAATCCTACATGTACTTCTTGGGATGACTATAAGCGGAACGTAACAAGGTTACGTCGCTAAAGCGCAACGCCATGAAAAGGTTCTGCTGTGACGCTTCCTTGAGTGCTAGACATCCGGACGAATTTTGGAGAAAAATGAAGCCCCTTTTGCCAACTAGTTCTGGTAAAAACATACAAGGCGTCATCCTCGTTGAGGGCAGTAGTGTTGTTTCCGACCCTGGGTGTGTGGCCGAAGTCTTT